TCGTATTTCATGATTGTAGTAGGTCGGGGTCCTGGCCGAGGTCCACGAACAAATCGCCTTCCTCCCCGTCCAGGCAGTTGTGTTCGCTGGCGCCAGCGGCGGCGTCGTGCCCCCCTGGGGCATCTTCTGCCATGGGCGCCCCAGCAGCAGCTGCGCCGAGAGGCGCCTCGGCAGCGTTCGCAGGAGGAGCGGCGCCCGTGCCCTTGGCCTTCTTGGGTGCGGCCCGCTCCTGCAGCCCAGCCTTGGCCGCCTGGGTGGCTGTGGCGGCGAGCTCGGCGGCGATTCGCTGGGTGTCCAACTGCTCCTGAGCGGGCGCAGCTGGCGCAGCGGTCGCCGTTGAGGCCGCGGGCGCGCCCGCTGGTGCCGCAGGCTGCGCCGCGGAGGCCGCCCCACTGTTGGGCGCGCTCCCCAGCGGCGCGTCCTCGTGGGCAGCCCCTGGCGCGGGATTGTGCTCGCCATCCGCCTGGCTGGCGACCTTGCGCTTATTGGCCGCCTTGGCCTCTGCGACCAGTTTGGCGGCGCGGTCGAGCTGGGCGCGGCAAGTGGTCTTGTAGTTGGCCGGGCTCTCCTCGGCGATTTGCTGCCCTGTGCGGGCCATCTCGCGGAGGTTGCCCTGGGCCTTCTGTTCCAGCTCCTCGAGGCCGTCGGGGAGGCTGAAGTCGAAGAGGACCTGGGTGTGGGGTGTCCTTGACGTCCTGGTTGATGCCCGCCTCCTGGTTGCGCCGGCGGAGGGCCGCGGCCTCCCGGGCCTCGGCCATGGCGCTCATTCGCGCTCGGCGACGGCCCAGGCTGCGGAGTCCAGCGCCGTGGAGGCGTGCAGGCGGCGATCCACCGCCGACTGAAGCCTCTGCGCTGTGGCGCGGGGCGCGCTGGGAGGCGGCTGGGCCTCGCTCTTGCGGGCCGCCTCGGAGGCCGCGCGCAGGGCCTCCGCCGCCGCGGGATCCTGCACGGCGGGGGGCGTGTCCAGCTCGGTGGGACCTGGGGCCGCCTCGCGGGCCCGTGGGGCCTCGGGGAAGTGCGGTTGGCCCTGGCCAGCGCCTGCGGCGGCAGCGCCGTGGGCTCCTTTGCCGTTCCCGTCCCCCTTGCCCCTGCCCTTGCCCGCCCTGTCCTCGCCGCCTTTGCCTGCCCGCGTCTCCGGCGCCCCTGGCCCAGGCGCCGCGAGGCGATGGGCTGGGCGAGGTGCCGACGTAGCGCGCCGTGCCTCCGTGGAAGCAGTTGTCGTGCTTGCGGAAGGTCCTGCAGTGGCGGCAGGCTGTGCACGCGACGAAGACACTGAGGAGGATAAGGAGGAGGATGAGGAGGAGGAGGAGGATGAGGACGGGGAATGCGGCGAAGACGAAGAGGCGATTCAGACTACGAATGCGAACGCTGAAGATTTTATGACAAATATTTACACTCATACGTCTCAGCCTATTTTTACGAAGACTATTCGTACTAACAAGAGTGCGCATGCGAAGAATACGGCGAATAGGACGATCAATACGACTATTCACACTAAAACGAAAACTAAGATGGCACGTGATACGAACACTTACATAGATGACAACTACGGCTAATATCAATACCAACGATAGGAATAAGAGCGCGACTAATACTATAATCAGTCTGCGACGAAAACGGTCAATAATAACAATACTAATACTAATTCTATTAAGAATGATACTCAGGAATTGCGGTTACCGCGACTGCTAATAGTGGCAGTGATATTACGAAAGCTCCGGATAATATTCAGAATGCGAAGCATACTGACAAAGGCCCTTAACAATACGAATAATACTAACAACTTGAGAAGGAGTCGGAACAGGATGAGGAGGAATAAGAAGATTGAGTACTCCGCGGACCAGCGCCACCAAGTCAAGCACGTAAACCACCTCTGGATGCACATCAACTCGAAGGAGGAGGTGGGGCGGCGAGCGGAATTAGGAAATGCCAGCGGAGGAAGGAGGAGGAAAAGGAAGAGAAAGAGGAGGAGGAGGAGCAGGAGGAGGAGGAGGAAGAGGAGAAAGAGGAGGAGGAAGAGGAGGAGGGGGAGGAAGAGTGGACGTGGCTCGCCACGCTTTGCAGTGCCCCGCCAATGCCACGACTCCTTTGACTAGATCCCTTCACGAGACCGCCTGAGCAAGGTGTCTTCAAGAAAGCTTCCAGCTTGCGCCCACTTGCGCTGCAGCCGCATTGATGGCAGTGGAAAGCCGAGCCCATTCCAGTGAAGACGGCGTGCTCAGACATATGGGTGAACCCTCCTTCTGTATTCCTTGGCCATAGGGCGAGTAGGCCTTTTTCGCTTCGGCTCATCTTCCGCTGCTGCCAATCAAAGTTTTAGCAAAAGCTTCCTGACCGCCTTTCCAATGGCTCTGGCATGCTCCACCGAGTCAACCACAGCTACATCCGCCGCCGCTTTGCCCAGAATCGCTGCGCTTCATCAGCCATACTGTTGGCCAGGTCATGGTCAACTGGGACGCCATTCTCTTCTGCGATTCCTCAGCAGTCTGGTGGCTCTCGATCTTCACCACATGTGGCATACCCCGACTCCTATCAACACTGTCACCTCGATTATTCCAGATATCAGTGCTAGTCGTAGGCGTAACTCCATGAGTCAATCTCGCAACACCTTTGGCAACAAGAGATGAGTCTGCGACAGTTGTGATTCCTAGACCCAAACCAACCAGGACCTCCATGGCTTTCGTAGTGGCCGTCAACTCACCTCGATTGATTGTGTGCTTCTTGGTTACGCCTCCTTCACGACCTCGGAGCATCACCGCACCTAAGCCTCCCACACGGCGAACGCTGGCCACCTGATCTGCCCATCCAGTCCCTCGCAGGCGCGGATCGGATGAATGCTCACTACCTGATGCGTCGCCTCCTGCCAAGATTGGAGAGGCCTGACGGCCAGTGCCGCCGACCCTGATCGAAAGGGCTAGGAGTGGGGGGAGGAAGCGGAGGATGAGGAGGAGGAGGAGGAGGAGGAGGAGGATCTCCCATGCTCAGAAAATTCGATGGGCCACCAAAGGCTTTAGCAATATTTGTCCACGTGACTGGCAGCTTGCTTTGTTTGTGGCCATGGACAACATAGTGCCCCGTGGTCCCCCAACGCACGTTTGACCAAAGTACCCGAAATCGTGGTGAACACTGCATTGCAAGAGCAGCTCGAGCCACGATGGACATGTGGCTCTTCCTCCACCTTGCATCGCGGGCAATGCATATAACCTTTCATATTTCTACCAAGCGAAGCACTACGGGTACGCGCGCCCACGAAATACGTGTCATAACGGCTGCGATCGCTCTTGCCACGTGATGTTCTTGTCGCTTCTGGAGCGCCCTGATTTGCAATCTGGCATTTCTGAGATCTGCTCCCTGCTCGAGGCCTTTCCCATTCGAATGACCAGCATCTTTGCCCCACAACACTCTTTCGAGATATTCAGGCATAGGAGGAGAAGGAGGAGGAGGACGAGGAGGCGGAGGCGGAGAAGGAGGAGGAGGACCAGTGTAAACCCAAGACGCATCAACGATGAAGGCATCGACCCTCCAAACTCTCTCTAATACTTTCTTCGCATTGCGGGCAGTGTCACATTGGAAGACAACTGACAACAGTCGGAGAACCCTGAATCGTGCCACAACACTATTCCTGGGACTTCAGCGCCGCGAATCATCGTGATAGTTTTGCCCTGACAGTCTTAAATAGTTCCAGGTCGCCATTCCTGGAATTTGAACACCGCGAACCAACGTGACTGTGGCACCGTGTTAGTCCTTAATCGTGCCAGAACACCATTCCTGGCACTTCCATGCGAATCCGTGAAACTGCTGCAGGCATTCAAGGCGGATGTGCGCGGCGTTTAGAACTGCATTCTGAAAAAGGAACCGCTCCCCCCCATGCGTGAAACTGCTGTGAACTTTTGAGACGAATGTGTGCGGCGCTAATGCGAGAGCATGCGAGAGCCACAGTTCGAAAAGAAGCCGCCCTCCATCCGTGAAACTGTTGATAACGTTTGAGACGTACGTGTGCGAAGCTCAGGTGGGAACCACATCTTGCCAACGGCCCGTGACTGTGTGCATGTGCTGCACACGTTGAAGAAACATGTGCACGGCGCTAGTGCGAGAGCCCTTTTCCTCCTGAAAACGGTCCGCCCTCAATCTGTGAAGCTGTTGCGAATTTCAAGCTTCACGATCACGGATGCCGAGGAAGTCTCGGGCGACCCCCCCCGGCCCGCCTTGCCAGCACGTGTGGCGGTGCGGCAGTGAGGATTATTTTCGATAGAAAACTGGAGGGATGGAGGAGGAGGAGGAAGTTGCTACAAGAAAAGGAAAAGAAATGAAGAAGGAATGGAGAAGGAAGGAGGAACAGGAGGAGGAAGAGGAGGAGGACTAGGAGGAGGAGGAGGAGGAGGAGGAGGAGGAGGAGGAGGAGGGGGAGGAGGAGGAGGAGGACAACGAGGAGGACGACGACGAGGAACGGAGGTTGTCAGGACCATGAGGGGATGCACCAATGAGACGATTGCGCCGCGGCAGGGGCGGGACCCGCCTCCCCGTCCCCCCGTTCCCCGATGCAGCAGCCCCCAGCCCTTCTCCGCCTCTCCTCCCCCCCCCTTCCCCATCGGCCCGCCAAAGGCTTCGCCCCACCCTCCCCCCACCCCCTCCGGCCCCTCCGGCCCCCTCCTCCTCCTCCTCCTCCTCCTCCTCATCCTCCTCATCCTCCTCCTCTGCCTCTCCTCCCGCCCTTCCCCCCTCGGCCCCGCCAAAGGCTTCGCCCCACCCCCCCCGCGGGCGCACGCACCGGTCCTGGGACCAGGACGAGAGCCCGGCCAGGATCGGCGCGGGCGTACGGTTTGCGCCTGTCTGTCAGTGCCCTCCTTCTCCTCCTCCTCCTCCTCTCCTCCTCCTCCTCCGCCCTCCTCCTCCTCCTCCTCCTCCCCCTCCCCCTCCCCTCCCCCTCCCCCTCCCCCCCCCCACCCTTCTTGTTCGCGGCCTCGTGGCCCCCTCCGCCGCCCCCTCGCGGGCGTGGGCAGGGCAAGCTCTCCGTCAGCGACAAGCCGACCGCGGTCGCCCCGCCCGCCTGCCCCCCCCGCCCTCACCCTTCTGGCTGGCGGGCCCGCGCAGCGGAGGCTCGCGGCGCACACGGAGCGGCGGTTGGACGCAACGTGGAGGAGGAGGAGGAGGAGGAGGAGGAGGAGGAGGAGGAGGAGGAGGAGGAAAAGGATCAGGAGGAGGAGGAGGAGGAGGAGAGCCAGCGTAAGCCCAAGAGTCATCAAATGAGGAGGAGGCCGAGAACCAGTGCAAACCCAAGAGTCATCATCGATTTGGAGTGAACCCTCCCTGCAAGCTCCCTCTTCATAGGCCCCGACAAGGGTTCATTTCCGCTGAGGGAACTGCCTCGTTGGAAGACAACCGTTTGAAGACCCTGAAGCATGCCCAAAGAATTATTCTCGGGACTCCAACGCCACGGATCAACCTGACAGTTGCGTCTTGACGATCATGAATCGTGCCAGAAGGCCATTCTTGGGATTCCAAAGCCGCGAATCAACGTAATTATTGCACCCTCACAATCCAGAATCTTTCCAAAGCACCATTTCTGGTACGTTGACCATGGGAATCCGTGAAACAATTGCAATGTTTAAAAGGAATGTGCGCGGCGCGAAGGCGAGAGCCACAGTTTGAAATCGAACCGCCTTCAACCCGTGAAGCTCTGGCAAATGTTTAAAAAGGAATGTGCGCGGCGCTAAGGCGAGAGCCACATTTTGAAAACGAACCGCCCTCAATCCGCGAAACTCTTGCGTATGTTTAAAGCGAATGTGCGCAGCGCTAAGACGAGAGCCACATTTGTTTAAACGACCCGCCCTCTATCTGTGGAACTTTTGCCAATATTTTTTAGCTTCAGGGTCATAAATTGTGAGGGAGTCTCTGGCGAAACACCCGGCCCGTCATTTCGACCGGCTTCGGGGTGCGACAGGGAGAAGTCGTATAAGGAAAAGGAATGGAGGACGAGGAGGAGGAGGAGGAGGAGGAGGAGGAGGAGGAACGACGCTGGCTTAAAGCGTGCTGGTGCCTGGGCGCGGGAAGGCGCGCGACAGTGCGGCAGCGACAGACACCTCCCAGACGCTGAGAGGTCGCAGCCATGCTGGACTTCTTCGCAGCTTCACATCGAGGCCGGAGAAGGAGCAGAGGCAGCTGCAGCAATTGCAACCGGAGCGAGAGCAGAGGCCAGCGTGGCGCGCGCGCGGCTCAATACATCCCATTTTAACAGAGCGAGGGGTCCTGTGCCTAGGCTGGGGTGCTTCTTTCCGCCCCTCGAAGAGCCACAGGCTATGGATTCTGAGGCTGGTGGGCCTGGGGGTGCTCCTTCACTCTCGTCGTCGTCGTCCTCCTCCTCCTCCTCCTCCTTCTCCTTCCCCTCTCTCCTGATTATTCTGCTCCTCCCCTCCTCCTCCTCCTCCTCCTCCTCCTCCTCCTCCTCCTCCTCCCCTCCTCCTCCTCCTCCTCCTCCTCCTCCTCCTCCTCCTCCTCCTCCTCCTCCTCCTCCTCCTCCTCCTCCTCCTCCTCCTCCTCCTCCCTCCTCCCCCTCCCCCCCTCCTCCTCCTCCTCCTCCTCCTCCTCCCTCCTCCTCCTCCCCTCCTCCTCCTCCTCCTCCTCCTCCCCTCCTCCTCCTCCTCCTCCCCCTCCACCCTCCTCCTCCTCCTCCTCCTCCTTCTCCTACTCCTCCTCCTCCTCCTCCTCCTCCTCCTCCTCCTCCTCCTCCCCTCCTCTCCTCCCCCTCCCCCTCCTCCTCATGGTGCCTCAGTCGGGAATCCTGCTATTTGTGTGTATTTATTTGTGTGTCCCAGGGCCCCTTCAGGTTCGTCTCCTCTTGGACACAGGCTGGCGGCAGCGCCGGCGATCGTGCATACCCGCAGCTTTTGCACGCCCACATCCGTCGCGAGGCTGTTGCCTCAAGGGCTTTGCATGGCGGCAGTGCGGGCGGTCCTGCACATTCTCGTGTCTCTCCAGCCCACGCCGGGTTCCTGTCCAAGGCGTTCTTTTGCAAGCACATCGTCCTCGGCACCGCCCGATTCCGGGGCTTCGCCCCCTCCTGGCTTGATGTGAGGCCCCTCCTCCTGCCCCCCTCTCGTGAATTCAAGCTGTGCGCGGCCCGCTTAGCTTCGACTGGAAGAGGTGCGCTCTCGACCCGCGGATCAATTACTCACTGCGTGGAGCTCCCCATATGTGCATATCATGTTTTATTTCATGCCGTGGTGAGCGTCTGTTCATGAGCGGTCGACTACAATAGCGCGTCCACGTGGGCGACAGGGCCGACGAAGACGAGTGACCCCTAATGCGAGTGATTGCGTCTGAGTCAGAGTGAGCATTGCGTATGGTTGAATGCGAGTCTCTTCCTCTTCATCCCCCCTCCTCAGCTGCCAGGCCTTCCCCTTGTCAGCCCGTGTTGAGCCCAGAAACAGGCAAACCGCCTGAGACATCCCCACAAACTGACCGCGAACGAACCCGTGCAACCACCACTGGCGGCTCCCCTTAGGTGTGCTGAAACCAACACCCCGCCTGAGACATCCTCACAATCTGCTCTCCAAGCGAAGGATGTTGAGCCCAGAAACAGGCGAACCGCCTTGAGACATCCCCACAAAATGGCCGCGAACGAGCCCGTGCAAACACCCCTGGCGGCCCCCCTTAGGGGTGCTGAAACCAGCGCCCCGCCTGAGACATCCTCACAATCTGCTTTCCAAGCGAAGGATGTTGAGCCCAGAAACAAGCAAACCGCCTGAGACATCCCCACAAAATGGCCGCGAACGAGCCCGTGCAAACCGCTTGAGACATCCCCACAAAATGGCCGCAAACGAGCCCGTGCAAACACCCCTGGCGGCTCCTCTTAGGGGTGCTGAAACCAGCGCCCCGCCTGAGACATCCTCACAATCTGCTCTCCAAGCGAAGGATGTTGAGCCCAGAAACAAGCAAACCGCCTGAGACATCCCCTCAAAATGGCCGCGAACGAGCCCGTGAAACAAGCGCAGACGCTGCGAGGATGTTGAGCCCAGAAACAAGCAAACCGCCTGAGAATCCCCACAAAATGGCCTGCAGAGCTGCTGCGCCCCGCCTGAGACATCCTCACAATCTGCTCTCCAAGCGAAGGATGTTGAGCCCAGAAACAAGCAAACCGCCTGAGACATCCCCACAAAATGGCCGCGAACGAGCCCGTGCAACCACCCCTGGCGGCTCCCCTTAGGGGTGCTGAAACCAGCGCCCCGCCTGAGACATCCTCACAATCTGCTCTCCAAGCGAAGGATGTTGAGCCCAGAAACAAGCAAACCGCCTGAGACATCCCCACAAAATGGCCGCGAACGAGCCCGTGCAAACACCCCTGGCGGCTCCCCTTAGGGGTGCTGAAACCAGCGCCCCGCTGAGACAACCTCCAAATCCGATGTGTGTTGAGTAAGTATGAGTATGAGTAGGTCTGACTATGAGTATGCCTGAGTATGAGTAAGTCTGTGTATGAGTAAGTTTGTGTATGAGTAAGTCTGGGTATGAGCAGGTATGTGTATGAGAAAGTCTGTGTATGTGTACGTCTGGGTGTGAGTAAGTCTGAGTATGACTACTACTGTGTATGAGTAAGTCTGGGTATGAGTGAGTCTGTGTATGAGTACGTCTGGGTGTGAGTAAGTCTGTGTATGAGTAAGTCTGTGTATGAGTATGTCTGAGTGTGAGTAAGTCTGAGTATGAGTAGGTCTGAATATGAGTAAGTATGAGTATGAGTAAGTCTGTGTATGAGTAAGTCTGAGTATGAGCAAGTCTGAGTATGAGTAGGTCCGACAGGAGGGGAGGAGGAAAGAGGAGGAGGGAGAAGGAGAGGGAACAGGAGGCGTCCAAGTAATAACAAGAACCCCATCTTAGGATATGGGGAACAAAAAGTCTCTCCAGCCCAGCGGCCAGGCCGGCGGCCCCGCACACTCACAGCAGACTGATACTCACAGTCGTCTCCGTGTGCGTCAGCAGAGTCTGCGCGCTTGTCCCCATCGCGAGGCAAATGCGAAAATGCGCCAGTGGATCTCCCTGAATACACTAAAGGGGGGGGGTGTCCAGAACCCCCCCCCCCTCCCTCCTTCAAGGGGGGGGGGGGTCCGGACCCCGCCCCCCCCCCCCCCCCCTTACGGGGGGAGGGTGGTTCCCCGCCCATCCCCCCTCCCTGCCTTGAAGGGGGGGGGTCCGGACCCCGCCCCCCTCCCCCCCTTTGGCGCTGGAAAGGAGGGGGGGGGGTCGGACCCCCCTCCCCCTCGTGTAGGGAGTACGGAGTTGGGAGTAGGGAGTGGTGACTAGTGAGTACTGAGTTAGTGCGTAGTGAGTAGTGAGTATTGGGTAGTGAGTAGTAGTGAGTAGTGAGTATGAGTAGTGGGTAGTGAGTGGCGAGTAGGGAGTAGGGAGTAGGGGTGGGGAGTAGTGAGTAGTGAACCGTGAGTAATTAGTGTGTACTGCTAAGTGAGTAGTGAGTGGCGATTAGTGAGTTGTGACTAGTGAGTAGCGAGTAGCGAGTAGTGAGTACTGAGTAGGGAATAGGGAGTAATGAGAAGTGGGTAGTGAGTAGTGGGTAGTGAGTAATGGGTGGCGGGCAGTGATTAGTGAGTAGTGAGTTGTGGGTGTGGTGCGTAGTGCGTACTGAGTAGTGAGTAGTGAGTAGTGAGTAGTGAGTAGTGAATAGTGAGTAGTGAGTAGTGAGTATTGAATAGTGAGTAGTGAGTGGTGAGCACTGAGTAGTACGTAGTGCGTAGTGAGTAGTGAGTAGTGATGAATAGTGAATAGAAAGTAGTGGGTGGTGGCAGTGGGTAGTGAATAGTGAGTAGCGAATAGTGAGTAGTGAGTAGTGAGTAGAGTGTAGTCAGTAGTGAGTAGTGGGTAGTGATTAGAAAGTAACGAGTAGGGAGTAGCGAGTAGGGAGTAGTGAGTGCTGAGTAGGGAGTAGGGAGTAGGGAGTAGTAGCAGTGAGTAGTAAGAAGTGGGTAGCGAATAGTGGGTAGTGAGTAGCGATTGGTGAGTAGTGGGTAGTGAGTACTGACTAGTGACT